AGTTTGAATCCCGTTATGCGGCAATAAGGCAAGAATAGCTTTGAGTAGGTCTCGAAACTACCAATATATCTTCAATAAGAATGTTACTCATAACTATTAAAAGTAATATTGTTGCTTGTAAGACCAAATGAAGCTGGCTTCAATGAAAAACTTACTATAAAAATGCGATATGAATTAAACCTGGCCCCGCTCCAAATGCTTTGTGAATCAAGTATGGTGTAGTGCTTAAGGTGTCAAGACTCTACGCTACCCAACCATCACTCGGATTCGAGTCCCGCTATAGGTGCTGATGAGACCAGCTGAGCTGAGGCAGAAACTGCAGTTTATTGCAACTGGGATGAATTTCCTTTTGGGAAGCAATGCTATGTGAAATTCATTGGGAACGTGATTTCGATTCATATCATTGTAGGAAAATTCAACTACCATTTTTTCATCACCTTATTGTTGACCCTACGTCCATTTCGAGTAAAAGTGATTGGTGAAGGGACTCGAAGGTCGATTCCACCAGAAGACGACGGCGGATTTCTCTTGACCAGTTGTCTATTGGCTTTTCTAGAACATTCATGGTGGCGCTGTTTCCGAACACTTTACAAAACACTTTCACCGGAAATGGAAGTAAGCTCAACAATTATGAAACAAGAGATTTCTCGAAACCCCATTTTTTCGCATATATTTCATTACCTTAAACAAAATACGGTCAAATTCAATGCAAAGTCCAGTCTGATTAAGAATTACTTTTCTGGATGCATGGACTGGTGAAATCTATTGTAAGAGCTTCTTTAAAACTGTATAAAAGTGGGACATTTTAAAATCGCATATGCATTGTGTTATCCCCCTCCTTACGCTGAACAGCATATAGTCTCAGTAATACACACAGTATTTAGGCCTTTGAAATAGAAAGAGATGATAATTGACTACAGCAGCAAGCAAACCAATCCAGAAGAAAGCGGACAGAGTAAAACAAAATTGAAAACGTCACGGTCCGAATAAATAAGTTAATAGAATTTTAAAAGTTATAAATATTTAAATATATTTATATCTAATATATTACATTAATATATATTATATAATGTATAAAAATAAATAAATAAAGTTTATGGGGGCATTCTTATGCTT